AGGGTTTTCAGTTTTTTAATATTGTAATTTACCAAATAGTTTCATTTTGTTATCGTCCCTTAGTTTCGAAACCGCTTAATTAATTCTTCATGACTCATTAAACATCTAATTAAATTTAAAAAAATAGATAGCCTTGTTTTGTCTTCGAAGTGGAACGTATCTGAAAAGCTAGAATGAAATCGCTGCATTAGAAGTGGGTCAAGATTAAGTTATAAGATTTTCCACAAAACCACAGACAAACAAAAAAAACAACCAAACAAACAACCAACAAATTAGACGTTGCAAACCAAGTAAAATCTTTTAATAAAATAATGAGGCAAGTCCTAAGCAAATAACATGTACACACAAAATGTACATATTGCGTAAAACCTTATCATTTATTCTGAGTTACTTGCACAATTCAGTCTGTTCGAGGAACGAATTCATAAGGACTTCATTATACATCATTTAAGGCGTGGTCGAGTCGGTAAAGCTCATGGTTGCTAAACTGAAAAGTCTTGAGTTCGAACCCTCGGGCAGCGACAGCCACTCTTCTAGGAGAGACAACTCCAAAATCAAACAACTGGTTGGACAAAGGCTATGGAAGCAAATCCATCAAGAAAAGCTGCCTGAAATCGGAGTCGATGACTTCAATGGCGCATAACCAGTTGACACGCATACTAAATTGTGTTGGAGAATATCCCTTCCAACACTAAAATTAAGAACGAAGAAGAAGAAGGTATATCATTAGTCGGTATTATTGTAGCTTAGTAACTTAAAGGCTGATGACGTCCAACTTATACTTTTGCGGCTACTAACAGGCAACGCTTATCTGTTGTATGTGTTTGCCAACATTTTACTCATTGCGTGGTCGGGCGCTAGAGCCTACGATTTTTAACCTCAAACTACCGAGTTCGGATAAGAGAATATCTACGGATTCGGTCCTAGGATAGGACGACTAAAAATTGTTCGTTCTACCGTTCATCCACACGATCCAATATAAAATTTACTTAGAATCAATTTTAGGGTTATCTATCACGAAAGTATAAATTGCAAGCCAAAATCACATAAACGTTTTGTGTGTTTTAGTATTACACATCTGAAGATCTCAATGCGGATTGTAAAACAACATATCTCATAAAAAATAAGTTTCACATTCCCAAGCCGTGCATAGAACATATTCAGAAAGCTAATACTTATAAACATGTATTCTGAAAATTTATGGGTGACTGTACCGCTTTTGTCTTGAGTTTCTTTATTCATCAACTATTGACATATTCTTTATCTAGAAAATAATTATATGCGTTATGAGCTATTTTACTTATTTATAGAAATAGAAATGTAGTAATCTAATGAATCTTAATTTTTTCTTGTTTTTTATAGGTGCTTTAATATTGTGCTTTAAGATTATTTTTGGGTTTAACATTCAGTAAGATTAAATGTAATATTTTATTGTGAAAGTTTTGAAATATTTACCGCAGCGTAGATTGTGTAAGCGCTTGATATTATTGATGTTTGCCTAAAGTTATATAGCTTTACCTTTTTCGGGTTTTTACATAGTTCTCTTCTAAGAGAACAATTACTGGGGCGATTAGACACCTTGCCAAACCAGCTTAACTTCTAGGCTAACCTTCCCAGATAAATATTTTTGCACTCATGTTTTTTTTAAAAGTCGGTTAGCATTTTATTTCAACATACAAATTCTTTTGAAATTCTTTTCTATATGCTTCAGCCATTTATATGGAATAATAAAAACGAAGGCTATTTAAAAGTTATTTTTGAAGTTGTATTTGAAATGGCTCCTTCGCTATCCCACGATACATTTCTCATTCTAACCTAATCAACATTATACTGTAGATATTTTATAAATACTTTCCCGTGCTAAGCCGCGTGATATATTTTTTTTTACATTCGCGCATAATATGCAACAACTTTTTTTGTAAAATAAAAGGGTCACCTTGAAATATAATTAATTGCCTTAATGTCTAAAATTATAAATAACTATGTGTAACAAAAACATAATAGCGAACATGGCTGTCTTTAAAATAGTTTTGCAACAAAGTTTGTCCGCTATGATACAAATATTTGCTTACGTATTACTTCAAAATAAATTTATTCAAGGCAAGAAACCAGTGGAATGAGAGGTTTTAGCTGCTTTGAACACAAGTGTTTTCACAATAGGTAGTTTTTGGTCAAAGCACCTGCGGTTAAAACACATATAGTCAAATTCCTTATGACCAAAGCCCCTATGTTCAAAGCTATGTTGTGGTAAAACCTTCTATGGTCAAATCCCATCTGGTTGAATCCATTCAGGTCGAAGGTCAAATCCTCTATTTTCAAAGCACCTATAGTCAAAGCACTTTAGGTCAAAAACCATAGTGTCATATATGCTAGTACACTATTTTCATTAACTATGATTTGAATTTGCCATTTTAAAAAAAGCTTGAGCAAAATCTTTTTATAACCGCTTGCTTATTTGTTTGTGATGTATTTCACGTGTTTGTATCTCTGTTGGAATGTGGTCAAGCCTTGTTATTCATATCGGCTAATTTCTATTTATTCTATTTAGTTTAAAGATAAGTGTTGGTAAAAAATGACGCCATCTCTTTTCTTATCAAATATAACATCGAAAATGGTGGGTACCCATCAGACGTTCCATCGGTTCAGGATTCAAAATCAAGTTTTTCGGGTTAGCAGTATTAAACTCTACCATTCTACCAAACAGTACGTTAAATTACAACATAGATGTTATACATCATATAGTTATAACATATGGGAGTGGGTCATTTCGTCAACTTTCATGACGTATTAAAATGTAAAAGCACTCAGATTCGATGTAAGTCGATGTTATATTTACATGAAATTGCACTTTTTTTTTGTCAGACGAAACGTACTTAATAGCTGCACTCATGTTTTCTTTAATTTATCCACTACTCTAAAGAATTTTTTGAATAAGAAAATGGCATGAATGCCATAAATTCCCAAGTAAAAACGTTGTTGCGAAATGTCAAAAATGACACTTAGACCTCTATTATTAGACATATACTTAAATCTACAGGACGTCAATAGAAATACTAAATGAAAAAAAAATTATAGCCTATAAAAATACCGCATCTTAAAAAGATTTACTTGAATGCTTGAGAAAAAACAATTTATTTTTAGCTTCCTTTCAAATGGAGACTTTCATAAACTTAATACAACGTTTTCTTTTGCCGTCTTAGAAAATTGGTCGAACGGAAAGATGAAAATAATCGTCTACAATGTTTCAGAAAATATTACGCAATATATCGGATTGATTTTATGTTACTGTCTTTCTTCTAGTATTGTCAATTGAGAAACGATTTTAAGATTAACGAAAAAACAACATGAAATAAAACCGTATAACCCGTTCGGTTTAAGTGTGTACAATGCATTAATACATACTGTTTGAACCTAGAGTCGACTTTGTGAATTACGCGGAGCTTTGACCCCACGGGCTTTGACCAAAGCGGTTTTGACCATTGTAATTCGTCTACAGCGAGGCAGTGTTTGTTTTTTAAATAGTTTGTTCACCACGGGTTTTTCGACTAATGACTTAAGTTTATTATCTCGGGCAGATGAGGCTCGTTATCTGGGGACAGCCACTCTTCTAGGAGAGACAACTCCAAATTCAAACAACTGCTGCCTTGTAGTTTGTTCTTGGTTGGACAAAGACTATGAGGATAGATCCAAAAATAAAAGCAAGCTGAAATGAGAGTCAATGGCCTCAATGATGCATAACCAGTGGACACGTATACTTAAATGTGTTGGAAGCGTGGTCGAATCGGCAAAGCCCATTGATGTTAAAAGTTGAAAAAGTCTCGAGTTCATTATGCTCGATCCATTCCAACACTAAAAATTAAGAACGAAGAAGACGAATAAGTTTATTATTCTTTACGATTTATTTAAATCAAACTATTTTGCTGTTTCTTAACATACAGCATTTATTGTAAATCACTAATACTGTTCTATATTTTAAAATGCTTGCATATAATAATTGTAAGATAGAAGACCTTGAAGTTAAGCTATACGATCTTTCAAAAAGTTTTTTTTTTTTCGAGGAATTTTTAAAAGTTTAATTTGATTTGTGTTGAGCAGTAAATCTAAGAAGTTATTTGAACTAGTAAATTGCTTTAATTACATTTTGAGCTATTGTCGCGTCATTAAAGATATCAGAAGTTTAAACCCAAAATATAATGAAAATAATGTTAGTACAGAAACATTTTAAGCTTTAATTTTCTGTTTAAAGTAAACATATTTCTTTATGCATCACTTTCTCTCCCCTATTTCGCTCACAAAGCATGTCAAAACCTTACATAACATATATATATATATATATATATATATATATATATATATATATATATATATATATATATATATATATATGTGTGTGTGTGTGTGGTGAGATAACAAATTATCTCAGACAAAATATTCCACGGAAAAAATATCTCAAGACAATGATCGCAAGGACAAATGATCTCACGGACAAAAGATATCATGACAAAATATATCAATAAACAGTATATCACCGACACCTGATCCCAAACAAAATATCTCAGACAGTGAACCACACACACACAAATACACAGACATATATATATATATATATATATATATATATATATATATATATATATATATATATATATATATATATATATATATATATATAATAGTCATGCATAATGCAATTTTATGAAATCATCGAAAACATTCATTTACTCGGATGATTGCATAAACTGTTGAATCCAGTTAAAGTTAATTTTAGATTAGTTTTAAAATAAATGTGTTTAGTGCAGAGCTACGGTATTGCAAATAATGATGAGACGGGATTTTACTTAATTTCCATGTTATAAAAAAATATATATTTAATATGTAAGCCTATACATCACGTGCCTTGCTTTGTTGCGCAAGTGTTTATTTTAACACTTATGGCACTGTGCCTAAGATCCTGGTACGAAACATATATAAAGACGTCTGGCTCGATGTCCATCAACAGTTCTGTCGACAAATCAAGTTGCGACTTCTTAGTCAGTTGTCAAGCTATAGGGCTTGTAAGTAGGTCACAACTTCACGTTCTCTTACTTGCCAGCAAGTAGATTTCGAGACCGTAGACTTACAAGCCCTATTGTGTTAACAATTATTCTTTCTTTTTTAAAAATTGTATATTATCCGATCTACAGCTAATTTCGTAAATTATTTAATAATTGTATTATATTGTTTTAAACAAACAGTTAACAACTATTTTTATTTTTTTGTTTAGTATATTTCTGCAATTTTCTGAAGCTCAACACTGTTGTACGAAAACTAAAATGAAGACTTCTTTCACTTGTACCGTTTTCTTTGGTGAGTTATTGATTTTCATTATTTACATAATTAACATCCTGTGTAATATTAGAGTTTAATAGTAGAAGTTGTACATACTATACGCCGAATCATGTACCTAAAATATTATATTTTTATCTTATTTTGAGTTATTTAGCAAGCATACAACATATTACATTGGTGTAAATTAAAATTTTCAATCAAATATTTACTACTAACAAATGCATCAATCTATCTTCCCAGCCATAGTGGCCTTAGCTTGTAGTGTACAAGCTCAACAACTTTCTGCAGAAGGTATGTCTCTCTGAAGCCATCTTTTTACCAGTAATCATAAAAATATTTAATATTCCTCAACAAATACAAGTAATAAATTAACAAAAAAAATACTTTTTTTTTACTGAGAACACGAAACATTTGTATCGCTAACATTTAGCCTCAATATTTTCTAGGTGAATGCAGTCTTACTGCCTGCATCAATCCTTTTCAAGGAACGGTAAGCGGCGTTGTCTGCAGGTAAGTGTTAGTTTCTCATATGAATTTAGCTTGAAGCTGAGAGGCCAGGTATGAAACTATAGTTACAAAATTTAGGTTTCTATAATATATATACACACACACATATATATATATATATATATATATATATATATATATATATATATATATATATATATATATGCATTTTTGTTTTTAAGCGTGTCTAAGAAGTATATCAATTGCCTGAAGGAAAAGGTTTTAAACAACGATGCCTGTGGCTGGGCTAAGAAACTTGCAGGAAAGGGTATGATAAAGGCAGCCGAAATTGCTATGAAAGCAGCAAACTGCAAAAGTAAGATACAATTTATCGTACTTATATATTTTTAATGTAAGTTATGAGGGTAAATTGCATAAAAAACGTTTTAATAACACGCTTTTATGTAATAATGCACTTTATTAACCTTTGAATGCATTAGTAATTTTTAGGAAGCGGCCCTCGATTTTCTTTATAGTTATTTTAATAGTAGAGTATCATTATATATTTAAAAGAAAATCATTTTTTTTTTATTTTTTAGTTTATTAATAAACCAAACCTTATTACGAAAACCATTTTTATGCATTTTTGTCAGTACTTTAAATAATTATTTTTTTTTTACAAAAGAGTTGCACGAATAAAAACAATTTCGCACCGAATTAACATGACAGTGCTAAAAGTAGTATTGAGACAGTATACAAATTTAAGAAAATTTCAATTAATTCATAACAAATTCATTAATTATCTATTTGATAGCAGATTGCATCGTCTTTAAATATTGAAACGCATGCCAACTTTAGAACTAATCTGTCAGAATTTCCCGAAATTTCACTCGCCTGTTTCGATGTGTTACGACTGCCGATATACAGAGAAAGCAAGTTAAATAAAAGCTAATATTAAGTTTTGTACCGTGATAACTGCATTTAGAATATATGTCAACTATTTTTTACTTGTTTGTAGCCGACTTAACTGCAGTTGCCAGTTGTGATATCAATGTATGTACGTATCCACAAAGTAATTCGTCGTCTTTCTGCCAGTAAGTTATTCTATATTAAATTTTATTTAAAAAAAATATTTGAAGGAAGTAAATAGAATTTAAAGAATGTTCTTTTCACTATTTGTTGGATCTGAACATATCTATCAATGTAAAACAAACAATTTCTTTAATTTAGAAAATCTATAACAATCCATAAAAGAAATGTAACTGGTAAAATGCACAGTTGGCTAGTTTAAAAAAATGTAATGGGTTTAAATGTCTATTTTGTAAATCGGTGTTTTATTTTGTATCGTGTATTGCCTTTTTAAACATTTATATAATCACTTTCGTTGATTGGGAAAATCTAATTTTGACATATTATTGTACCGCAGGCAGGCTAGGGAGTATGGAAGTTGTATCCAAGAAAACGTTTTTGATGTCGAACACTGCCACCATGAGCAAAAAGAAGCTGGACACTACTTGACAGTTGCCTTATCAACAGATATAGCTGAACACAAATGCGCAGGTATATACAACTCAATGTGGCCTCAGTTTTTTTTAATGTGATTAATTTATTTCTAATTCAATTATGGCATTTTGAAATAAATTACGCAAATTGTGCTTGATTTTTTATCTTATACCTAGTTAAATTGATTTAATTTGTTTCAAATTCTGCAGATATTTTGCAGTCCACTCCAATGCTTGGTGACAGTTACTTGATGTGTATGGCGAGATGTGTTTTTTAAAGCAACTGCAAAAAATGTGCTTAAATGGGTCTTAGATTAAAATTATCTACATACACTTGTTAAGTAACATTTTTAAAATTGATCACATTTTTTATTCATTAGCGAAATTCATTATTACTCGCATAATGGTAACTGTTTAGTAAAAAGAAGTGAAGAATTTAGTAAACAAAAAGAAGTGAAGAGTTTATTTAAAAAAAAGAAAAGAAGAATTTAGTAAAAAAAAAAAGAAGTGATTTTTTAGGAGAAAAACGAAATTGCATTTAGCTGCAAACATTACAAATTAATTTATATCAAAAGAAAAATGTGTACAATTACTTATTTTTTGCAGATAAAAATAACCTTAATCTTATAATTATTTTCATTAATATGTAACCGGAGTATATTAAAGTATGTATACATGTATCTCAATTTGTTTGTATCGTACATGCAAAACACTGACTAATTTTTCTATTTATTAGTAAGTGTTGATTTTATAAAAGTGTTACTATTTTCATCTTAGTAACGGTGTCTGAAAAATTTAGAATATTAACATACAATTTCATTATTGTTAAGCCTCATCTTGTGCATACTGCATCTGCTGCTAAAATTTAAAAAAAAAACCCTCATGTTCGTTTGTTTAAAAAGCAATGTAATCTATTGTACCAGTTAGTTTCTACAATTAAAAAAATATATCTACGCAATTTGTTTTTTAAGTGTATATATTTTATGGTAATGTACAACACTAAACTAAACATAGAGAACACACTAAACAACATGACACATCACAACACTACAACACAGCGCAGTGCAGCACAGCACAGCACACTAAACTCACTACACTACACTACACTACACTACACTACACTACACTACACTACACTACACTACACTACACTACACTACACTACACTACACTACACTACACTACACTACACTACACTACACTACACTACACTACACTACACTACACTACACTACACTACACTACACTACACTACACTACACTACACTACACTACACTACACTACACTACACTACACTACACTACACTACACTACACTACACTACACTACACTACACTACACTACACTACACTACACTACACTACACTACACTACACTACACTACACTACACTACACTACACTACACTACACTACACTACACTACACTACACTACACTACACTACACTACACTACACTACACTACACTACACTACACTACACTACACTACACTACACTACACTACACTACACTACACTACACTACACTACACTACACTACACTACACTACACTACACTACACTACACTACACTACACTACACTACACTACACTACACTACACTACACTACACTACACTACACTACACTACACTACACTACACTACACTACACTACACTACACTACACTACACTACACTACACTACACTACACTACACTACACTACACTACACTACACTACACTACACTACACTACACTACACTACACTACACTACACTACACTACACTACACTACACTACACTACACTACACTACACTACACTACACTACACTACACTACACTACACTACACTACACTACACTACACTACACTACACTACACTACACTACACTACACTACACTACACTACACTACACTACACTACACTACACTACACTACACTACACTACACTACAATTACATTACGTTGCAGCCTGTAATCATACCGTTATACCACGCAACAACATGCTACAAACCGCTAAATCTTCAAACACTTAGCTGCACCACACTACATAACGCTAACCAACCCCGTTAAAACACAAAGCTGTAAAACACTACACCCCCATCGACCAACGCTACTCCCTGCTACACCATGCTAAACCATGCTAAACAGAGCTGAATAAGGTTTATGCCATTGTCTCCACGCCATACCTCGCTACAAGCTGCTATATAAAATAACACAACACTATACCATACTAAACCCCGATAAATTACGCCTTACATCACCCTTATCACCCAACACCACGCTACAACAAGTCTATCTATTTAACAATAACTCATCTTACGGAAACTACGACTCTGTATTGTGATATAATACTATGCCATGCCATGCAAAGCCATGCAATGCAATGCAATGCAATGCAATGCAATGCAATGCAATACAATACAATACAATACAATACAATACAATACAGTACAATACAATACAATACAATACAATACAATACAATACAATACAATACAATACAATACAATACAATACAATACAATACAATACAATACAATACAATACAATACAATACAATACAATACAATACAATACAATACAATACAATACAATACAATACAATACAATACAATACAATACAATACAATACAATACAATACAATACAATACAATACAATACAATACAATACAATACAATACAATACAATACAATACAATACAATACAATACAATACAATACAATACAATACAATACAATACAATACAATACAATACAATACAATACAATACAATACAATACAATACAATACAATACAATACAATACAATACAATACAATACAATACAATACAATACAATACAATACAATACAATACAATACAATACAATACAATACAATACAATACAATACAATACAATACAATACAATACAATACAATACAATACAATACAATACAATACAATACAATACAATACAATACAATACAATACAATACAATACAATACAATACAATACAATACAATACAATACAATACAATACAATACAATACAATACAATACAATACAATACAATACAATACAATACAATACAATACAATACAATACAATACAATACAATACAATACAATACAATACAATACAATACAATACAATACAATACAATACAATACAATACAATACAATACAATACAATACAATACAATACAATACAATACAATACAATACAATACAATACAATACAATACAATACAATACAATACAATACAATACAATACAATACAATACAATACAATACAATACAATACAATACAATACAATACAATACAATACAATACAATACAATACAATACAATACAATACAATACAATACAATACAATACAATACAATACAATACAATACAATACAATACAATACAATACAATACAATACAATACAATACTACCAATGTTACTGTTAAGATTTTCCTTACGGCTAGGCGTAGGCTTTGTTTTTGGATTTGGATGAAGGGTAGTGTTATGGTTAGATATAGTGAATGGGAAACTGGGTAACTGTTAGATATAGGTAATGGGTAAGGGTTTGTTATATGTTTATTTTTAGGATAAGGATTGATTGGGTTTGGGGTATTGGATCGTGTTTGGGATATTAATTTTTAATCTTCGTTATCTGGAAATAGAGTTATTCCATAAGTGTAGGATTATTTTAAAAATATGTACACAATAACACCATTGAATAAAAAAATCAAATATCACGTGCCTTGGAATGTTGCGCAACTGTCATTTTAAGAAAACATTTGCAATGTTGCTTAAGATCCTGGTACGAAACATATAAAAGGAAGTCTGGATCGAACGTCGCGCAACTGCTAATTCTGCAAGTGAAGCTGCGTTTTTAGCAAAGTAAGCTAGTAATTTTAAAATCTTGTTTTGATACTTTATATTTCTTTATATTTAACCTTATCGACAGACACACACATTCTATGTTAATAAGTTGTATACAATTATTGCATTGTTATTTTCAAATAACATATTTTAGTTCTACTGCTGAGGCGTCTCAATACTCTTCTGAACCAAAAATGACATCATTTAACTGCATTGTTATTCTTGGTGAGTTTTTCCTACACTAAATAAATACATTAATAAATTTCACGTTTTAAAATTAAAATCTGTTAAATGTTCTAAGTCAACTTTATCTAGTGTGAGATACCTATCTGTTAAAAAAATATCTAACCATTGTGTGAAATCAACATTTTACCCGCCAACATTTAAAAACCTAACAAATATCGTCTTCTATAACCATAGCTATTGTAGCGTTCATCGGACTTCAACGTTCGCAAGCTGAAGGTAACTGCTTAATATAATTGTACCTTAAAATTAATTTAAAATATCCAGAATTATGAGAAAAGAACATTTTAAAAAGAAAATCGACCGTTTATTACATTTATATTATATATATATTGTTGGTTTTGTAATGGAGAATTTTTTTAGAAACGTGGTAGATATCCTTTGTCGTTTTAATTTGTTTTCCGACATAAAAATCAAATTTCCCCATTTTTATAAATTGTTTGTCTTCTCCAGGAGAATGCAGCCTTACTGCTTGTTTAAGTCCTTTTCAAGGCACAATTAGCGGCGTCGTTTGCAGGTATGAATATTCATCCAAAATCTTAAAATCAATTTAGTACCATAACACCGAGCGTTATTGTATTAAGGTCATTTTATATATGCTATTATATATATATATATATATACATATATATATATATATATATATATATATATATATATATATATATATATATATATATATATATATATATATATATATATATATATATATAGGCATAAATTTATAATGATTATTTTTAATAAATGTTAAATAGCTTGGCGAAAAAATACGTCAGCTGCTTGAATGAAAAAGTTTTAAATAACGACGCTTGTGGCTGGGCTAAGAAACTTGCAGGAAAGGGTATGATTAAAGCTGCAGAACTAGGAATGCGGACAGCTGGCTGCAAACGTAAGCTATAACACGTGTTACATTTTATTTACATGTGCTTAATTAATCATGTGTTGTAATTTGTTTTACTGTTTTGCAGCCGATTTAACGGCAGTAGCCCGTTGTGATGTTAACGTGTGCGCTTATCCACAAGCTAACTCGTCCTCTTTCTGCCAGTAAGTACATACAAATCCATATATAATCGTTTCTGACACAGAAAATAAAATGCGTTTACAATACAGTGTCAATATTTGCAATTAACAGATATATGGATTTCTATTTTGTATTATTTTTTATCAATTATTATAACACTTTATAACACATTTTGAAGATTTAAAGAACATGAATTAAGCAACTTGTCATTTTATTTAACGTTAAACCAGCAAGTCGATTTCGATGTTTCATGCGTATATTGTTACGGTACATTTGTTACTTTTAACGAAACAAATCCATACTTTGTATTATATTGTAGACAAGCCAAGGAGTATGGAAGTTGTATACAAGAAAACGTCTTTGATGTAGAGCATTGCCATCAAGAACAGAAGGAAGCTGGGCACTATATGACCGTTGCTTTGTCAACAGATATTGCCCACCATAAATGCAGAGGTACGTTATAATAGATACTATAATAGTTATCCAGGGTACATTTTACTCAGTTTAAATAGCGTGAGTATAGAATACGTTTAAATATGTTTCTGAATCTCTATAGTTTTGACAGATTGCTCATATATGTTTATTATTTTTACAATAATTTACCTTGAAAAAAAAACATATTGTTTCTTCAATTAATATTTTTGTTCACCAGATGTTCTTCAAGCTAATCCCATGCTAGGAGACAGCTACCTAATGTGCATGGCCAATTGTATTATTCCATAGAACTTACCCAATTTATAATTGATTGACAGAGTAGTTTAGTTTTTTTCTCATATGCATATTATATATATATATATATATATATATATATATATATATATATATATATATATATATATATATATATATATATATATAAGTTTTTAATTTACTCGAATTAACACACTATTAATCTAGAGTTTAAACATACGTATACAATAATCCCCTTTTTTTTGCAAATTTAATATTGATTTTAATTTTAAAATAAAGTTTTAAAATGATGGTAAAAAAGTGGGTCTTTCAAAAATGACGTCGCATGACGTCGCACTTAAAGATGTATGTGTATGCGCCCGGGGTGGAGGATAGGAGTGTTGTGACAATGTATGACAATAAGGAGGGGGAGACACGGAGTGTTTGACGACACACCTTTACACATTAAAAAGTAATATTATAATAATGAATCATTATTTTGGGTTTATATGAGAGAAAAAAAAATATTCAATGCTCACACAGATAAGAATTTTTTTAAAGAAAGTAATCGCTGAATAAATAAAGGAGTGAAAGTTTAAAGGGCCAGTTAGATGTGGTGTGACGTCAGTTTAGACGATGTGTTTATGATGTCGAAGCTGAGACAAGTAAAAATAGTTATAAAACGAGTGTCGTCGTTACTGAGGATCCCAAAAAAATTGCGCCATAACGCTGCACTAAAAGAATATGTTTAGTAACAGTAAAGATAGATGCTTTAGATGCATTTTTAAAAATCAACACAAGGCAGCCATTTTATTATATATTTTTTCTATTAGCTGGAATGTTATATTATGTTATTCAGTCTGTGCCTTTACATTTAAAAGAAAGTGTTTTCCTAAAACTGTTTCAAACTGTTTTTCAAATGTGTTATTTTAAAGAAATAAAACTTTTTTTTTTGCTAGTAGAAAAATGTTCTATATTTGTAACTCACAAATCTGTTTTAGTTTTAATTATTGCTTGTTATTGTAATATGTTAAAATGTATCAATAATTTTATACTTTAACTTTTCATAAAAATGTAATTAATTATTGTAGACATTTGTAATCTCAGAATAAAACATTTAATAAAATGTATTTTATGTTGACTATGCAAATCTAAGATTTAATAACCGAATGCAAGGTAAATGTAAAAGTAAAATATAATTTTAAAGGATTTAAAAGCAAGTATTACCGTTACATAGAGGATGCAAAACAAATGTACCTATACGATTTTGAGACATAAAAAAGTCATATATATGACATTCATGAGCAGAACATTCAACACAACAGAGAACGAAACAATTAGAACATAAACATTTATAGAAACAAAAACATCAGTAAATTCAAAAAGGTTTTAAGAAAACACTATAAATAAACCGGGAGTGATCTCCCCTAAACTTACTCGAACTAAACTTACTCGAATATTCTTATATGAAACTATAAGGAATGGCAACTCGGGATACAGACATGACTTTTAATCCATTTTAAATACTTAAACTTTTAAAAATAGAATAAAATCTCGTAGAAAAAAAATTGCATACCAAGTGAACGTCATATAAAATGTGCAAAATAGTGCGGATTATTATTAGTACTTTATAAATTCACATGCGTTTTTTGAGAAATCGGAAATAGCGAAAATTATTACTTCCGGTCAACGGAAAATACTTAAAATTTGATAAAAGGCAGATAATTAGATCTTTTACTTACATGTGAAATTTCATTTATCCATCTGAAATAGTACTCAAGTAATAGGCTTTTGAAAATTCAAAGTAGAAAAAGTTCCACTTCCGGTTATCGAAAATCGCCCAAAAGTTGATACGGATCTACGATTTTGATATAATTTGAAATTTCATCAACCTAGCTGTAACGGTACTCAAGTTATCGTGTTTACACACGCACACACACACACATAGACATACGGACAGAATTGGGTAATCCAGTTTTTCCGACTCCATTACGCATAAAACGCCAAAATTTTGATATATCTGGATTTATAATTTTTCCCCGATTAAAATAAGTCCTCTACATCCCGGATGTGATGAAGGACTGAGGAATAAAACGGTGAAAACTGTCCAAATTTAATGTGATTTTTGTGCACGATTACAAGACTTTCTCTATACTTCGTATATACGAGAAAGTAAAAAGTTTTAAAGTAAAAATAAAAAAAGAAAACATACATGTGCAGAACAGAAGAGATTAGCTGTCAGCCTTCAGAGAAGCATGTTCAATGTAGTTCAACTCCGTGCAGCTCGATTCTGTTCCGCTCTGCGCTCCCCACTCTTGTTCTATTCTGTCCTGTCCTGTCCTGTCCTGTCCTGTCTAGTCATGTCCTGTCCAGTCCTGTCCTGTCCTGTCTAGTCCTGTCCTGTCCTGTCCTGTCCTGTCCTGTCCTGTCCTGTCCAGTCCAGTCCAGTCCAGTCCTGTCCTGTCCAGTCCAGTCCAGTCCAGTCCAGTCCAGTCCAGTCCAGTCCTGTTCTGTTCTGTTCTGTTCTGTTCTGTTCTGTTCTGTTCTGTTCTGTTCTGTTCTGTTCTGTTCTGTTCTGTTCTGTTCTGTTCTGTTCTGTTCTGTTCTGTTCTGTTCTGTTCTGTTCTGTTCTGTTCTGTTCTGTTCTGTTCTGTTCTGTTCTGTTCTGTTCTGTTCTGTTCTGTTCTGTTCTCTTCTATTCTCTTCTATTCTGTTCTATTATATTATATTCTGTTCTGTTCTATTCTGTTCTGTTCTGTTCTGTTCTCATATGTTCTGTTCTGTCCTGTTCTCATCTGTTCTGTTCTGTTCTCATCTGTTCTGTTCTGTCCTGTTCTCATCTGTTATGTTCTGTTCTGTCGTGCCCATTTCTGTCCTGCCATGTCCTGCTGTTTCCTACCATGTTCTGCCCTGTTTGTTCTGTTCTGTTCCGTTCTGAACGGCCCGTAGATGTTTGGTCTGGTTCGGTTCGTACTTTTCAGTTTCTCTGATTATTTTTTGTGTTTTGTTTTGTATTATGTTCACATTTTTCCATTCTAATTTTTAATGAAAGCATAAGTGATATCGGGAAGTGGCCCTGCACACAAGAATTTTGATAAAACATAAATAGTATGTGAACATATAAGCCAATTAAAAGCCGAAATAAATTATCACTATTTTTAACATTGAACAAAAAAAAGAAATGTTCTGAGCTTAAGTTTTCTTTACGTGAAAGTGAATATTTGAGTTCACATTAGACCCTTTCAGTCCTCAGCCCTCACTGCTCTCAGTTCTAAAAAACTTCATTGCAAGGTACTCTTAAGGAAAAGGTAAAAGCGCTGATCATAATAACATTTAAACTAAGTTAAATGATAGTTCAGTTGACAAAACAAAGAATGTTTGATGCATTTATTTTTTAGAAAACCGATCTTAATAATAGCTTCTTAAAAGCGGTTCGTGTTTTCGCTGCTGTTTTCTATGAATAGTAATAAAGCTGATGGGATCTTCGATAAGCTTTCTGGTATATTCTCACATAACCCTTAGGAGTGATGGTATTTCCATTGTAATCGGGAAATAAACATATTTTTTTAATTATTCGTCAATACATCTATCTATCTATATACTACTAAAACTCAAGTTTGTTTATATGACTGTATATTTATTTTTTTTTAATTATTTTTTTTGTCTGTTTGGTTAAAGGAGGAAATCTGCACTATGTGTAGAGCTGTAAAATGCATATTTTGGCAGAGAATAAATAAGATTTTAAGATGTTAATTAATTTTATGATATATTCAATGGTAGATACATCACTTTAAATACAAAAGTTCAGAACAATGACATTACATATAGCGACGTCACTTGATTTATTTACTTAATTATAAAAACACAATAAATTATTGAGTTTCCTTATTAAAATATATTAGTCCTTAAGTATTTGATATTAATTTCTGCTCTTTAGATTCAATGATCATCTAATTCGAGAATACTGGGATTTATCCATTCTAGGTTCTAGAACTAAAGCTGCGGAAAAACTAGACTTAAGACTTAGATCTAAGCCAGCCGTAGATTCTACATTTAGATCTATCTCTATCTAAATCTATTATCTATGCCAATAACGAGTTTATATACAAAACTATTTCAGGCCTTAATTATTTTATATAAATCTTTGATTAGCTGTGGAACTGGCTAATTTGGGATATGATATGATTTGATTTGAAATAATAAGGCCTATTTGCGTAACTGGTTTCTTACTAATTCTTTCCAATTTGCAGATGTCCACATAGCTAAGATGATAGAGTAATAGTTGCCATGCGGGTGGTACGGGTTCGAGACACATCACGACAATGTTAAATGTTTTTCAATTTTTTTAGATGTGAATGATAAAGTTGCCTATCCGGATTTGGCGGGACACAGGGCAGGTTTAGTAGAGTTGGGTACATGTAGAGTTCACCCGTGATTTCAGCATATGAAGGGATAGTGTTGTCAGACCCATTCTCCGCCGAATGTTTTGTGACCTCAACATATGAAGTGATCGTGTGGTATTTTTAATAGACAAAAACGCCTGATGTGTGACGTCTTTTAAATGTGGGGTCTTGTTTTTTGTTTTTTTGTGACGATGAGTGACAGACGTGATGTCGTTTATGGATGACCCCCGAGACCCACAGTTATCCAAGGATAACGGGTAGGCCTAGTTAAGTACTTTTTAAAAACAGAATCGCATAGAAAAAAAGTATTGCTTAGAAAAAGAACTCAAAGTGTATATAATTGGACATTGAATAAAGTTACCTTTTATTCCACAGTGCATTGTCATCGATCGAATCGACCTACGTGAAAAGCTTGAAAAAATGGTCCGGTAGAAGGTATATTTTTTGTGTAACAGAATATACCGTAAAGTACTACTTCCGGTAACCAGAAAACACTTATGGGGGAAGGCTCCGGTAAAAAACTTTTTTATAATTCTCGTTAGAAAACAGTTATTTCTTTACAGCTTTATGCATTTCCACTAAAAAAATCGTGGAAAAATCTTGGTAACTATGACAACGGCGGCCATCTTGAAAAATTAAACCCTTCGAAGGTTTTCCACCATCCATAAAATATTATATTAACCCAATAAATAATACATTCATAATCT